TAAATTTCAAGAAAGAAAAGACTAAAGAATGGGCTAAAAGAAGGGAGCCGACGTTAACAAAGGTAAGTTTGTTTTAAATATTTATTTTATAATTGTTTTAAAACCCGACGGCCTTTGAGTATATGATAAAGTACATTTCTTGCAAGTTGTATTTTAGCAAGATTTTGTAAATTTCAAAACCTTTCTGAGAGCCAAAAAGGTCTAAAAACATCTAAAAGAATAGAGCAAAGTCGCCGACATTAGCGAAGGTATAGTCGTTTTAAATATTGATGTATTTTTTGTCTTATAATTGATATATATATAACTGATAGTGGTGGGCGATACGGCGAATATCGAACTAAACCTATCATTGCGTATATAAGTGAAAAAAGACAGCATATAATTTCAGTGTAGTTTTATTAACTACCTTTTCTTTTGTATATTAAAGTATTTAAATAAAGAGGAAAGCAAAGTTATTTTCATGCGAGAATTTGAAATCAGCTTATTTCAAACTCAATGTTTACCGATAATTCGATAAAAGGCCGTTTAGTTTTGAGAACATTTTAAAACGTTTTGCGAAGCGTTTGTGGTTGAATTTTACATTAAATTGATGCTTATATTACGTATAATAACATACCTGGCATACATATGTTTGAGAAATTGATAATTTTGTTATTAAAAGTGATATTTTGGGGGGATTTTTCAATTTTAAAACCAGGTTTAAAACTATTCTTAAAATTATCGTGTTACCATGACAACTACTTTCAATTCTTCATAATATTCAGAAAACATAATGTTTTGTCAGTAAGGCGAGGGTTTCTGCATGCATGTATTTTCTAGTAATTTTGTAATGAAAAGTGATATTTTTAGGCGATTTTTCGTTTGTAAGAATATTCTTAAAGAATTATCGTGTTACCATGACAACTACTTTAGAACTAATTCATGCTCGGAAAATACAATGGTTTTGTCAGGAAGGCGAGGGTTTCTGCATGCATGTATTTTCTAGTTATACAATAAACACCAACCACATTTCTAGTGGTGTGACAGCTATTACTATCAGTGATCACTATTTGATCTACGGCATTCGTAAATTTAAAACTTTTAACAGTCTCCACGGTTTATTGAATACCGGGATTTTAAACACTTCAATGAACAAGATGTGTAATCTAACATTATTTGAATCTCATCCATTCTGATCCTAATAAATCTTGAACGATTTGGAAAAACAAATTCCTAGAGATTGTAAATATACATGCCCCGCTTAAAAGACGTAAAGTATCCAGTAAACAAATATCGTGGTTAACAAATGATCTTATTTTTAAAAAGCGGGAGAAGGCATTTAAAACGCAAAGCAGTATTATGAAAGACTATGACTGACTGGTCTGACTACCGCCATGCAAGAAATTGTTATAATAAACTAGTGAAAGATACAATCCGCAGTCATTTTCAAAATAAATTACATAATAACCAAGGTGATCTTAAAAAAACCTGGAAAACGATTAATGAGTTAATTAATAAGTCTAAAAAAGAGAATACAGTTCTAGAAGTAAGAATTGATTCTGTTGAAATTACTGATCTGACGATAAACATCACAAATGCATTTAATAAGCATTTTGTAGAAATGGGAGATAAGCTTTCGAATGATATACCCCAATCAAATGTAACTCCTGAAAGTTATCTCAGCGACATTCAAAATTCAGTAAATCAGTTAACCTGTTTTAGAGAAATTACAAAACCAGAAATATTAGGTTTACTTCAGGGATTGGTTGCCTGTAAAGCATCTGGCATCGATGGAATTTCAGTAAAATTTTTGAAAATAGCAGCTCCAGCAATTACTCCATCAATTGTATCAATTTTTAATCAATTAGGGTAGCGCCCATCATTGTTTTTGATCTATATTAATGATTTTCCAAAATGATTAAGACACACTGGACCCAGATATGTTTGCCGATGACACCCAAATTGCAACATCTAATAGCGATATCAATGTGATCTTAGAGAATCTTAACACAGATTTAATAAATGTTTCGACTTGGATGTCAGCTAATAAATTAACTTTGAACAATAAAAAACAATTCATGGTTATAGGTAGCAATTAGCGACTTGGCCAAATAGTCCAAGAACCCTCAATTTGTGTGAGAGGCACAGAGATTAAAAAGTTAATGCGACCAAGACACTTGGCCTAATGATTGATGATACTTTATGCTGGTCAGCCCAAGTTGAAGAAATTACAAAAAAAAGTTAACTCAGGACTCAGCATTATTAGAAGACTGCGGGATATTGTTGATTATAATACTTTCAAAAACTCATTAATAATTCATGAGGAAAACACAAAGAGAAATCATGAGCGTGGCATGTCTTTATATGTGATAAAACACACTTCAACTTGTATTTTCTCAGCTAATACAAAGTTATTTTGTAAAATTATTTCGCCAATGCCATGATCTAACTGAGACGTTTTTGAAGCTGTTTAATAAACTCGTAGTTTGTGTTTTATCACATATAAAACACTCTGCTATGTGTCGTGTTTTGTATGTGATAAAACACTCCTACTCGTTTATTAAACAGTGCTTAATAACTGTTTATAAATCAATAATCCAACCACACTTTGATTATTGCTCGCTAGTTTGGGGTTGCCTAGGAAAGGTTTTATCAGATAAACTTCAACGTCTCCAAAATAGAGCGTTTCGTATTATTACCTGTGAAGGATATGAAACACGACCAAAAGATATTCTAATCAAGGCAGGTTTTTCAGATCTGCAAACAAGAAGGGAACAACATCTTGCTACATTGATGTATAAGATTAAACATAAAATGGTTCCAAACTACCTGCAGGATATTTTCATCAATACACAAGAAGTCCATAATCATAACACTAGGCATAGAGAATTTAATTATACATTTCCAATGCCAAATACTAATGCTATGACCATGGTTTAATTACTAGTCTAGGGACCTGTATACGAGTTTGTATGCATTTCATTGAGGACAGATAATCTCAACTGTTTTACGGCAAGTTGATCATGACGGTCAACATGGTAATGCTGCCCGAACCCCAATCCGGGGCGAAACATCCTAAACTGACCACACCCAAAAACAACGCTCTCACCATAGTGCTATCTACTAAACCATAAAAGCTTTGGCTATTCTGAGGTGCTTATATGGTGCAGAGATGGTGCTTTTAGGGGTGGTCATTGGTAAATGTGAAATGCCTAGCACTGATATTTCACAAGAAAATGACCAAGACCATGACAGAGGGGGGTGTGATTTTTTCATGAAGATAGAAGAAGGGCTGTGTGAAATGGACTAAAAACTAAATACAATCTTACAAACGTTTGTTTTATTTTTTGTAGCGACCATATGAATATGTCATACTATAAATTAAATGTTGATTGTTGGTCTTACAACACTGATGTTACTGCGTGCTGTTGCTTTGCTTTAATCTTCAAAGTCTCCACCCCACCCCCCCCTTGTTGCTTTGCCATGTGAGATTTGTACGGAATGTTTTTAAAGACTTGTAAGCAAGATTTTACAGGCTGATAAAATGCTGCATTTTTTCTATTTTGTTTACATATTTATTTTGATACCCTTAACAAAGGGTTCAGTTTATTATTGGAATGAACATGACTTGGATGGAAGAATAACAAGGGCAAAATGTTTACAACTGACATGAGATGACAAAATGGTGCCGAATTGGACAAAGTTGTGGTTTTACCTTGTCGATGGTTAAACAGCTAGGATCTGCTTGAAACCTATTTAAAACTCGTTTAAAATGTGCTTGACACCATTCTGCCTGAGCTGCGGTAGATATTTGGAAGGATTTCAATGATATTGGCGATAAACAGTGGAGTGAAGTGGAGAATTTGTCCAAATACGTCAATTTTCAGGAGGTAGGTACATTTCAAATTATTAACTATTTTACAGCAAAGCAGTGATAATATACTTAAATAAGTACCGATTATGTTTCTATCAAAAAGATTTAGGAAAAAATTTAATGTAGGTCCATTGCTGTTTATCTGAGTTTGTAAGTCACAAATTGACATTTGACTATGAGTATTGCATGGTCATTTTCTTGTGAAATATCAGTGCTAGGCATTTCACACTTACCACCCCTAAAAGCACCATCTGTGAACCATATAAGCACCTCAGAATAGCCAAAGCTTTTATGGTTTGGTAGATAGTACTATGGCAAGAGCGTCGTTTTTGGGTGTGGTCAGTTTCGGACGTTTTGCCCCAGATTGGGGTTCGAGCAGCATTAGCATGTCGACCATCATGGTCAACTTGCTCTAAAACAGTTGAGATTATCTGTCCTAAATGAAATGCATACAAACTCAATACAGGTCCTAGACTATATATATTAACGACTTGCCCAGATGTCTCCAAACTACTAAGGCTGGATTAACTCTTTCCATCAGTGCTCCAACCATAGATGAAATTGAATCAAAACTTAACCATGACCTTTTGAATGTTGAAAAATGGCTCATTGCAAATAAACTTACACTAAATGAAACGAAAACTGAATTTATGATAATAGGTTCACGCCAGCGAGTCCCGTCATTCGAGCAGGGCCCTATAATTAAACTTGGTAATCAAGTTATTAAGCATGTACCCAATAAAAAGACGCTTGGTGTAATTTTAAATGAACATCTAACTTGGAACAAGCATATCGACAAACAAAACAAAGATTTCAAACAATATTGCTTTATTAAGGAGAGCTAAATCGTTTGTGCCTGAACATATCCTTAATAAAATGTATAATGCATTTGTAATTCCGAATTTCTATTACTGTTCCACTGTTTGGAACGATGGCTACAAAAGTAATCTTATTTTAGTAACAGGAAACAGATTTGCCCTATTAATGGCGGCTCGGTTTTCAATGGCGGCTCGGTTTTCAACAACAAAATTACCACTCGGTTTTTCTTATCAATGGCGGCTCGGTTTTCAACAACAAAATTACCACTCAGTGGGAGGAACACGATGATACAGATGATGATACTAAATGCGACAAAGTTCTCATCAATATGACATCACACAAACTTGAAGAGAACCTTCTTAGTATCACTATCATGGTAAACAAGGGACGAATACAAATACAAGGCAAATACATGAAAGAATGGGGTAATGACGAATTCCCCATACTAATTGAACTTATAAATAACCCAGTCCTGCTTCACAGCAACCCAACCAAAAACCTAAATAATTTTATCGAAAAATTATTCCCAAATACCAGTACCCAGCAAACCACATGTCAACCAACAGATACAAACTCCCCAAAGTTTCATGTTATGAAATCCAATCTGGCCTCCCTAGAAGCAGCCTTTGTTGATTTCAAGCAACATACTGACAAGGAAACCACCGAACTGAACCTTGCTCTCACTGAGAAAGTCAAAGATATTGAAATACTAAAAAATGAAATCACTGTTTTGAAATCAAAGCAATTAAATGATCAACAAACATTGAGTGATATGTTGCTAAAACAATCAGAAATCGAGGACGAAATGAAGAAAATCCATAAAAAATGCAAAGTTCTAGAAGAAAAGAACTCAACATTAACTGGCAAATTAGCGGCTCTCAAGGAAATCATAGAAAGTAACAACAGTGAAATTTTATCTACACCCAACACATCCAATTCAGACGAACCCACATCGATTCCAAACGTACCCACAACCAACCAATTCCTTGCCATTGCAGATGAACCACCAAATGAACCACCGATGAAACTACAAGCGAACCCCCATTAATCCAACAACAGCAACCATCCCAACAGGAAACGTCCCAAAAAAAATTGAAGGTGACACCATTATATTATGCGATAGCAATGGTCGATACCTTAAACCTTCCCTGTTATGTCCTGGTACCAAAACAAAATACATTAAATGTGCTACACTTGAAAAAGCAAAAGAAATACTGGACAATACCACCTTTAACTCGCCTAAATCGTTCATTATACATGTAGGAACAAACGATTTAGAACATTCTAACCCAACAGAAACCTTAACCAACAAGGCACTGGACATAGTGGAGGATATCAAGAACAAACATCCTGAAAGTCATATTATATTCTCTTCCCTTCTCCCAAGAACAGATGCTCTTGACGAGAAAGTGAATGATCTTAACAACAAGTTGGAAAAAGCGTTTTCCTCAAAAAAGAACATTTCTCTAGTTCAACATAATAACATATACAAGAATGGCCACCTCAAAGACAAGAAGCACCTTAACAACATTGGTGTGAAGCGTTTCGCACAAAACCTAAAACGGGCCTTCTTTAGAAAAAATATCACCTTGCCACAACGACATAGACAGTACAGACCTCCAAGACCCCCGACCCAATGGTTTCCTCACAACGCAATACCACCACAATTCCCTAGCATTCTCCCCTATACGCCCAACTACCACTTCAACAATGCTCAATCCCCAAAGCTTCTCCAAACAGCTCCACCAAAAAACACTCATTTACAACACCCTAACCAAGATCACCCTCCTAATTTTCCTACTTTTCCCTCAATCCACCATAACCAAACTGCTCATCTATCGACAACACACCATACAACCCAAGAAACCAAAACAATGCAAGGTCAACTTATCCAACTGATTAAAGATCTTCAGCGATATGTAAGTTTGTAACAATATTACTAAATAATATTAAGATACTGAATATTGAACACTACTATATAATACATTTATATAATTTGAAAACCTTAATTAAGCACTAATATTCTCAAAATTTAACTTTTGATAATATAGTATATCAATGATTACTCGGTCACTCTTTAGATATTCACTCACTTATTAGTTCCCTCCAATGTACTCTAATATTTCCTTTAGTACCTGGAATATTCACGGTATTTCAAATAATGTCCTTGGCAATAAAACCAAAAACAAGGATTTTATTGACTGTATACATAATATTGACTTCATTTTCCTTACTGAAACTTGGTGTAACACAAATATAGATGTTCCTGGTTTCAGGTCTTTTGTCTCTGATACTGCAAAGCCTCATACTAACCGGGCATGTCGCAAATCAGGTGGTATCATTCTACTAACCAAAACCAAATTCGAAAAATTTACTTTAATTGTTAAAAAATCCAAAAATTTTCTTTGGTGTAAAATATCAAAAGATGTGTTAAATGCCAAAAACGATCTATTTGAAAAAAATCTGTTTATTTTGAAAATGAAATTTTTGATGAACTAGAAAATGATATTGCACAATTTTCCTCAAAAGGAAACATAATGATCCTTGGTGATTTTAATGCTAGAACTAATACACTTGAAGACTTTATCTCTAAAGATGGCAGCAATTTTATAAACGACACTAGTGAAAACTGCTTACAACCAAAAAACAGATTAAATTTTGACAACCAAATTAATAACCATGGTAAACAGTCAATTAATCTATGTAAAAACTGTGACATGAAAATTTTAAACGGACGCACAAAAGGTGATTCCTTTGGACGAGCTACTTTCCATGGTAACAATGGTATAAGTGTAGTTGATTACATCATATGTGATCAAGAATTATTTAGAAATACTAATTATTTTGTTGTAAAACCACCAACATACCTATCTGACCATTGTCAAATTATTACATGGGTTGGTATCGGTCAGACAAACGAAAAATCAGATACCAATCCTCGATGTAATATTCAAATGACTAAACTTCCAAACGAATACATTTGGGATGACCACTCTAAAAATAACTTTAGAGAATCATTAAGATCACAAGAAATACAAAAGAAATTGAATGAATTTAAGAACTCAGATTTCACCACTGATTTGAACGGAACAAACCAATGTGTAACCGAATTCCAAAACATCTTACTTGAAACATCAAAAAAAAGTTTGAAAATAAAAAAGAGCAAAAGAAGAAGAAAAATCACTAACGTTGCCCAAAAGAAATGGTTTGATAAAGGACATGACTTAAGGAAATTATCTAATTTAAAACATAGAGATCCTACCAATGTTGAACTTAGAAAAAACTACCATGATGCCTTGAAATCATATAAGGCAACTCTACAGCTGAAACAAAATGAATTTCACAACAAAAAGATGAATGAATTAGAAACAGCTAGTCAAAATGATTTTAACCTTTTCTGGAAAGCACTAAAGAACTTGACAGACGACCTTAATACCGAAACTAATTCTGAAAACTTACCAAAAAATTATGAATGGTACTCACATTTTGAACAATTACATCGTGATCACCATCTTAGTGAAGAACAAGAAAAAATTATCGGAAAATTGAAACAAAAAGAAAACTCGAAAAATCTCCTCAATGAACTTGATATGGAAATAATTAACAACTGAAGAAATAATAAAAACAGCTAAGAAAATAAAATCTAAAAAAGCTGCACACTCAGATAAAATCAACAACGAAATGATAAAATATAGTGTTGATATCCTTGCCAATGGTTTTATAAAAGTATTCAACACAATAATGAAATCCGGAAAGTTCCCAACTTCATGGTGTGAAGGACTTATTTCACCAATTTTTAAATCAGGGAACAAATTAGACCCAAGTAATTACCGAGGAATATGTGTATCAAGCTCGTTAGGAAAGTTCTTCTGCTCTGTTCTCAATGAAAGACTGATGAACTTTTCAAAAACTAAAGAATTATTACGCCCTTCTCAAATTGGTTTCCTACCAAATAACAGAACGGCCGATCATATTTTTACCTTAAAAACGTTGCATGATAAATACGTTAATCAAAATAATGAGAAAATTTACACATGCTTTATTGATTTTAAAAAAGCCTTTGATTCTGTCTGGCATGAAGGTCTTTATTTGAAACTATTAGAAAATGGAATCGGAGGATGCTTCTATGATCTGATAAAGGATTTGTACTCCAATACTCGATGTGCAGTGAAAGTATCGGGTCATAGAACACCCTTCTTCTCATACAATAGAGGTGTACATCAAGGTTGTGTTTTAAGCCCCCTTCTCTTTAATGTATATATAAACGAACTTCCTAATCTATTTGAAAAAGTAAATCCAGACCCATTTCTTTTACCAAATGGAACGAGACTAAGTAGTCTACTATATGCGGATGATCTTGTCATACTATCAAGATCAAAATCCGGTCTGCAAAACTGTTTAGACTCCCTCAATGAATGGAGCAAAAAATGGGTAATGAATATTAATTTGAAAAAAACTAAAGTTATGATTCTACAAAAACATAACTCTAAACTACAATCACTCGACTTTTTCTTGGGAGATAAACGTATTGATATTACAAACGAATACACTTATCTCGGTCTAAAACTAACTCCTAACACTAAATTTTCAGTTGCGACTCAACAACTGAGTGAAAAGGCTATGCATGCCTTATTTAAAATACGGAAAAATCTTGATTTTCAGAAACTTACACCAAAACTTGCCATAAAAATCTTTGATGGCATAGTCTCTCCAATCTTGCTTTATAATTCTGAGGTTTGGGGAGCCTATGGTAACAACGATTTTACTAAATGGGACAAAACTAGTACTGAGAAAACACATCTGAAATTTTGCAAACTCTATTTAGGTGTGAACAGAAAAGCGAGCAATATCGCTAGTAGGGGTGAATTAGGTAAATTCCCTCTATTAATACCCATATTCAAAAGATTATTTTCTTACATTAACCACCTTAGTCAATTACCAGATACAAGTATAGCGAAACAAACTTTTTACCTATCAAAAAGACTTTATTCAAACGGTAAAGATTCATTCTATTCTAATGCTGCAAGCATTATTAAAAAGTTTCATCCCAATATCGAAGATACAATAGATATTGAAAAATTTGTCCAGGATACAAACATAAACGATTTTGTAAAAACCATTAAAGATAACTATACATCATTTTGGAAACATCAAATTAAAAACTCTAGTAAATTGTCATTTTATTCTACATTTAAAAAACACTATAACTTAGAAGAATATCTAAATATCATTAAAGACCCTAACCAAAGAAGACTGTTCTCAAAATTTCGTATAAGTAATCATAAACTAGAAATCGAGTTCGGTCGTTATAGTGATGTACCTCGACAGGAGAGACTGTGTAAATACTGCGATAAACTTGCAGTTGAAGACGAATTTCATTTCTCATTTGAATGTGAAAAATACCAAAGTTTGCGAAATAACTCGCGCAACATCCTAAACAACTATTGGTCTCGCGCAACATCCTAAACAACAAGTGATCTTATGTCATTGAATGACCCTGTGATAACAGGTCTATTTTCGGAACATATTTCGAAATGTTTTTATATCAGAGACAACAGCCCTTAAACCAGAAGTCACAAGTTTATATATATTATCTAACTTTCCTTTCCCTTTTTTTATATTCACTCTTTCTAATCCTTTCTTAAATTTTGATATTTGTTCTATCATATATCCTTCCTATTTGGTATATTATACATGTAAATAGCAGTATATTGTTTTCCGTTAGTTAAAGTAGTTTTTATACTAGTTAACTTTTATATATTTTCCATTACGCTTAGCAATACCTGTAATTAGGTCATGCAAATAAAGCTTATTAATAATAATAATAAATCAGATGTAAACGAACTTAAGTGTGGAGTTCCGCAGGAATCCAACCTTGGTCCGTTTCTTTTTCTCTTACTAGTCTAGGGACCTGTATACGAGTTTGTATTCTTTTCGAATTTCTATTACTGTTCCACTGTTTGGAACGATGGCTACAAAAGTAAACTTACAAAGCTATCTAAACTTCAAAAGAAAGCAGCACATGTGATAACCGGTGCTTCATACGATGTACGGTCCAATGAAATATTTTGAAAACTTACTGGATGCCAATCCATAAAAGCTTATCTATTCAAGAAAATATTGTTACTTTTAAAGCATTCACTGCTAATTCTCCGAATTATCTCACAGAAATGTTTCATTTCTGTTCAAATGAAACGTACAACTTGAGAAGTAACTTTTGCCAACTTTCCCTTGAGAAACCTAACACAAATTTTCTCAAAATAAGTTTCTCATATAGAGCAGCAAAATCTTGGAACAATCTCCCGGATTACATTAGGCAAAACGTCGACAATATCACATTAAATGTTGCTAAATCTATGCTCATCAATCACTACAGAACCGATTAGGTCCCCTTGGGTTAATCAGTAATATCAGTAGTTTTTTACTATAATTAGAATAATAGTTGTTTAATGTATTAGTATATATTATAGTGTGAAGCTGATCAGTATGTAGGCTTCAAAGTATGAACATACAAAGTTGTCATCCTCTTGCGCATTCTTCATATTGCACTCCACTCGTGTTATTGACAAAACCATTTTATTGAGTACCCGTCGAAGACATGAACTTTACAAATTCGTCATTTTCTCACACAGTTATATTTATTTATTTATATAACTTTGCCATTTATATATACAATACAAATACAATTACCAAATACCAAATACAAAATACAAAAAACCAAATACCAAATACAAAAAACCAAGTGCCAAATACAAAAAACCAAATACCAAATGCCAAATACAAAAAACCAAATACAAAAAAAACAATACAGTACACTACACTACACTATTCATTCTTTATTACAAATTAATTTACAGGTGATGGGTCTTGCTTAAGTCCTAGTCAATATATACAATTAGTGCCATTAATGGTCATAGTATCAAGATCAGTTCATATAAGTGAGTTATCTTTGTCCTAAGAATTTAAAAGTTCTATAAATCTATAATGTTCCAAATATATAAGTAAAGTTCCTTTATACGTACAGAATGTGAATTAGATACTGATTACAAATATCTATTGAGCATGCTACTCAGAGTTATCTGCATCCACAGAACCCCCTGTTATTCCAAGATGTTCCCAGTAAATGTTTGTTGATCCTTGGATTGCGTCAGTGCAACACAATTTCCTAAACAAAGAACGATATCGTTTGGACATCCCAAGTTGTCGTAAAACGTTTTCATTGGCTGGATGCCGGGAACCAAGGGCACCGATCACAAAACCAAGGACCTTGCATTGCTTTCCTTGACCAACGAAGAATTGCTTCAACCCTTCATATTTATTCAGTTTCCGTTGTTCAGCGTCACACAGGGCTTCAGCATTACTATCGAAGGGGCAACATACATCAATAATTAGCACTTTGTTATCTTCTTCTACTATTATGTCAGGGCGAAGACGAGAATTGGCTGCACCAACTTGTTGGTCGGTGGTAATAGTTCCACTTTGAATGACGTTGACGATGCGGTCCACTATGGTATTGTGTCTCCGCAGGATACTAGGCATGTTACAAGGGCAGTGTCACAACACATGAGGGAGAGTCTCATCCGAGTTACAATGGCGACATTTTGGACAGGAATTAGACCAATGACTCTTGACATTATTTACTGGGAGGCAGTTAAGTCAAGCTCGGTGGATGAAACGCCAATCTCTGAAACGAATGTTTAAGCCATTATATTGCCAGGTAGAACCATTGGCGAAAGGTGTCGGTAGTAAGCGCAAGGCCCACTTTTCCTTGATCAGGAAGGGCAAGTAAGGTAGAAGCAAAACGATCTTGAACATGAAAATGAAGGAAACGACTGGCTTCTTTGGCAAGAACAGAACCAGAGTTCTCAGTGGAAAGGATAGGGAGACCATTGTCATTGAATTGAATTTCAACACCAAGGTTACGTGTCGATGTATGAACTCGGGTACATACTACACTACACTACACTACACTACACTACACTACACTACACTACACTACACTACACTACACTACACTACACTACACTACAAAAACAAAAAACAATACAGTACAATACAAAAAACAAAACGATACAATCTAACACAAGACAGTGCAGTATATATATAGTTCAGTACAGTACAATACATACATTCATATGGCTGTGACACCACAACAGTTAAAACCAATTACTGTGGGCCCTTTTAATATATAACAAATAGAAACAACAATTTATAACACTGTTCAAACTATGACAAACACACAGATTTCCACGTTTTTGGATCCTCTGCATCGTAACAACTATGCAGGGCTTCCAAATAGTTCCGCAGCAATCTTTTAAATGTACTTAACAACATATTTGGCTGTCTTAAGTTTTTTGGAAGACAGTTCCAAACTCTTGTGGCTCGGGTGAAATATGATTTTTGGAAAGTGGTAGTTCTGCATTTTTGTGGGCGGAACAACAACTCTGTGGTACTGGATGATCGGGTAACTTGGGTGGGAATAATAGGTTGAGGGAAAACATCTTTAGATACGTCGATCAGACCGTTTACAGCTTGAAAGAAAAACACAATATCCATATACTTGTGCCAGTATGGTAGTGGTATGTGTTCCAAACTGATCAGCTTGTCGCAGTAGGGCTTGTCGTACAAGTAGGGAAGGTTGAGGATGTATTTTGATGCTCTTCTCTGTACACGCTCTATTCGTATAATTAGACCTATAGTCTGGGGAGACTATACTTGCCTTGCATAGCCAAAAACCGGGCGGACAACTGAGAGATAGAGTTTCCAGCGGGTCTGTGAGTTGGATATTTCTCCAGCACTTCTCCTCACGAAACCAAGCAGTTGGCTTTCGCACAATGTTCTAGGACATGCTTGGTCCATGTGAGATGACTGGCAACATAAATTCCTAAACATAAATTCCTAAATCCTTCTCAACCGACGTTGTTGTGAATTCCTTATCCTTGATCTTATATGGATAAGTAGTAGGCTGGATTTTCCTAGTCACGTGCAGACACTTGCATTTGAGCTGGTTGAAGACGAGACCACTGGGTGTAGACCAATTCTCTAAGTTACTCAGATCGCTTTGGAAGAGTGCAGCATCGGATGTAGTTCAGCACTTCGACAAGCTGATTATTGTACTCATGTTTATATTGATTATTGTACTTGTAATATTGAAAAACCATTTTATTGTACTCGTGTTATTGATACAATCTCGCTTGATAATGACTAAAACTTTTGTGCACTGAACCGAAGATATGATACAAAGTCGTCATTGTCTTGCACAGTTATACAGCAATATTTGTATTGCACTCCACTCGTGTTATTGAAAAAAGCATTTTATTGAAACCATTTATGGACAACAGCGGAACTAACCATAGATAACCGACTTTCGCCCTATGCTTGCAATGCATTACATCGATACGTCATCAATCTGTCATCGAATGTGCTTTTTCCGACATATACCTACCTACATCCTGACAATGCAGCAATGTAGTAAGACAATGCAAAAAAGTAGACACAACCTATTGTACTAATTTGATAGTTGCAATAGGTTAGAATTAATTATGCACAAACACACAAGGTTAGGTCTTAATACTTATACATAGCAGAAGAAAGTAGAAGTCATCCTACATTCCCATGTGTAGAAGACCTTGTGTTTTTACGCCCATTTACTACACAGTCCAGGCTATCAAGGACTCAAGTTAGTACAATAGGTAATGTCTAATTTAAAATTGTCTACTTTTCTTACATCCTGTATTATACAATATGTAATGCACTAGTATGCTTATGATCAGGGTTCATATGCCCACTGAAATTTCAAAGTGATCTCCTGGACTTGTGTTGGAGCAATTATAGAATACCAGGCCAAGTAATTGTTGCCTAACCCACACGCTCGAAGTACAGGAAAGACCAACTAACTCTACTCATATAGTTAATAGCCTGGAGAACGGGGTCTTCCCAGGTGGTCGCCCGACCTGGCTTAACCATTGGTGAGAGGCGGTGTGCTGGCAATTAGCATATAGCAATTAGCATGAAGGAGATGTCAATTCACAAAAAATGTTGAAACAATATTGTGTAAAAATACTGTTGACAGTTACTGTACAGTTTGAGTTGCCATCTAGTAACTCGTTATACAAACCAATCCGGTTACTGTCTGAAGATTTTTAACATTTTTATCCAATGTTTCAATATAGTTAATACAATGAAAATATGTTAACTGTTACTAAAGTCTCCATCGATTTGATTTTTGTTGAGTAAGGGACCGATCGTTTATAAGTCTCAGGGGGAGGCGGTGGTTTTTTTAAAAACATTATCAATAAAATATGCACCCCCTATATTTTTTGGAAATGAAAAAATGACCCCCCTGTTTAACTATATAGATTAAAATTTTAAAATATACCCCCCCCCCCAAATTGCACTAGGCAATTCTAGGCATCAAACCTCAGTGCATCAAATATTCGAATTACAAGGCCTCGCGAAATTGCTAATTCAATATATTAAATATCGAATCATATATAAAAGCAAGATTGCATATTTTAGCATTCAATACAAAACAGGAAAACGTTATACAAAAATGTCATATTAATGAATGATATAAACCTGGATATAAACATGTAAAAGTAAAAATGCAATGATATTTATATATTATTATAAAATGTAGATAAAAAATTAAAAATACCTTTTTGAAACTTTTTCAGCCATGTTTTTTTTCAGGTGTAAACGATTGACTGCAATCATTCCGTTCAGCGGAGTCACTAAGAACCATTGAACTAAACTTTCAACTATAAAGAGTTGAATGCTAAGAACTAGATTCCAGTCTTCTCTATGCAAAAATTACACGCAATTGCACAATCTTGCTTGATTAGTTTGTATTTGTTTTTCTTTTTTTCAAATTCAAAATGGTAGATATATTTTGAATTTCATCTCATAATAAACCAAATATGTAAGAATCGTTTGCAATTTCAAAATTTAACACCCCCCCCCCCCTTTTCTTTTCGAAACAAAAAACTACCCCCCAAAAATAGCCATATTTAAAAAATTAACCCACCCCCCTCAAAAACCACCGCCCCCCCTGAGACGTAATAAACGATCGGTCCCTAAAGGATGTTTACACATGGTAATTAATCAAACCAATTTCAGAATCATGCTTGATTATATTTAAAAAAGGTTACAGTTATCAATATATGAACATTTACTTTCAACTACTCAGGGAAATTCCAATGTGTAAACTTGCCTTTAGCCATTATCTGCCACATGGCCAGAACATAGATATCTTATATACACTAGATAGCGCATCTCTTTTAGTAAAATTGAAGCCAAGAATATTCCAGCGGTTACCCCCATTTGAATAGATGGCGGCCATGTTGGTCGTTCCCACTTGCTAATAAAAGCTTAAAAACAACAATAACTTTCATCATTCGAATAATTTAAAAATGCATTTGGAATAGGGTTAACTTAGTGTTTAAGTTCCCCTGTTTAACAAATAGAAAACATACGAATCTTCTCATTTCATGGGAACGACCTGAGACTGCAATCACAGCTTCAATTTTTGAATTGCAGAATAATTAGATGCACTATCTATTGTATATAAGATATCTATGGGCCAGAAATGTGGGACAGTATGGCTCTTAACTATGCGCACAATTGTCCAATTTCGCGAATTCAAGATGGCGGAAATGTTAAGAGTTAATACTATAATCACACAAACACAATGCGCAGACTGAAACAAAATAGAATTTGCAAAGTGTTTATGTCTACAAATCTACAAAAATACCTTAATGAGTGTTCCACGAATCTCTCGATGTGTGACGATTTGCCAATATTCCGCGCGATAATACTGTAAAACTGAGTTACTCGGGATTTACTGAGTTACTCCTATTAAATACAGGAAATCCCAATTCTTTACCAAGTTTAGGTCAGTGTAGTGTTGCTCCAGGAGTTCGAAGACGAATTGTTTACGTCTACAATTTGTGCACGATAGTCGATCTCCCCTTTAATGTTGATTTAGAGGTATCTTAGCTTGTAGTTCTTCCGCCAAATACATTTAAAATAGCCCGATTTTCATGAGAACTGCTAGCTCATGATGCTACCAAACCCCCAAACTACGAGCATTTTAATAGCGTTTCTTGAGTTCTTGTCAGCCATTTTGAAAACAATTGTATGTACAGCCGCTGACTATTGCTTAAAAGGGACGGGGGCTCCAAAATAGGGGAAAAAACCCCGCCAAAATCAAATTTAAATCCCGCGATGTTCATGTAAAATAAGTGTTATTTTGGTATAATTTTGTACTTGTGAAGTTAGAAACTCTTGTGTTCCATTAATTAAAAGATTCTAAATAAAAAACTAGTTGCCACATTGTTTAACTGATATAAAATTGGCTCCGAAGTTCGCTTGATATTCCTATAATTAATTCTGTATTAAAATGGAAATTAGACGTTCAAGTTCCATCATTAGCATATGCGGCCAAAGCAAATTCAAGGAAGGTTATTTTCGCTGTGGATATTCCTTATCAACTTATACAGTAATGGCAGGGATACATGGTGGCAAAGAAGGTAAAGCCCCAAGCAACTGAGGCGGATATGGATGGCAATGGATATGGATGGCAATGGAGATGGCTGCCCAAGCCATGATTACAGCCTGGATTATGTTGATCTTTTTGAACTTTCCATCCCCGGAAATGTATTTGGAATCACTAATGACCCGACTATTCGAAGTGAAGTTAATGAATCATTGAGAATGATTACTGCAGCGGTGAAATCTGCCTACAGCAAAGTCAAAGGAGGGAAGAAAAAAAGGAACTGGACACAAGGGTAAGAAGATTTCGTATATTTGAGGATATGGCAATTTCTGTTAAAGATTTGGAAAGAGAAAATGAAATTATTATTGATGAACTTAAGAAATGGAGAGAAGATTACAAGAACCTCAAAGAAGAAAAAGAAAAACTTTATTCAGAAATGTTGATTATTTTGAAAGAGAAAGATGAAGAGATTAGTAATCTAAATAAAATGAACAAAGAACTTGAAAAATATATTGACTGTCTTGAAAGGAAGCAAAGTTTTCAAAACCATGGTAAAGATGTTTCCCAAGTTTCAAAAAAGTCAAGGACACTAAACACTTTCATGTCACAAGCTAAAGTTGCACTGTGGTTAATGAAGTCATTTGGTCTGGAGTTGAAAGGGATCACAGCCATGGAACAGAACACAGGAACAATACATTCTCTCCATGTTGATGACTGCCAGAATTTTGATAGTTTATCCAATGAGGACAAAGAAAAGATTGAACAAATTCTATTCCTGCTTGATAAATTTTGTGTAGGAGATTCTTTTTACCATGAGTTAACCATGATTACTGATGGTCTTCCCAAATCATACTTGGTCAAGCAAAGGAGAAGCCAATTAAATGATATTAGTAATGTGATCCCAACCCCCGGTGAGGCAGATGGGGCTCAGATTTCATTTACAGAGATGCTGAAAACCCGGATTCAAGAATTTGTAAAACTTCATGATGAAGTAGACTGGAGCAAAGAAAAAATTCAGATGGAAGGAAAATCATTAATAAAAGTTTTGTTATTGCAGAATACACTGTTCAATTTATCTTTGGCCTTGGACAAAGACAAAGTTTTCAAACTTGAGTGTCTCAGATGTGGTAAAAATTTATGAAATAGCAAACACTTTCTTAATTAAATCAATAGTCCTGTTTTAACTTTTAATAGATGGGTGTGAGTTTCCTCGACATAAGGGAAAGGACAAATGGAATTTAATAGGAATCTAATAGATTTCGAAGTGACGGTTTATGTGGTGCAACAGAATATAAAGACCTGTCTTAATAACATTTGCCTTGGATTTGTTAACCAACAATGAGGCCAACTAAGACAGAAATAGCGTTGACGAGGAACCTGAAAGGTATATAGGTAAGTTCATACTTAGTTTTAGTATACATTTTGTTATAAAGGTAATAACAAGTTACTCAGCTGAATCTTTTTCTAATAGAGTATTGCTTTAATTTTAAACAGACAACAGATTTCGAAAACCAATAACGTCATTGGAATGCAAAGCTTTCAAACAAAGTTGGATGTCGGATGGAAGTCGTCGAAAGTGGATCACGGCGCTGAAAGCATTTAAAGACTGGCAGACTGAAAGAAACGTTTCAATATCAAAAGATCCCGATAGTGACAAACTATTGATGGATACAAGCCTAGAAGAGATGTCTGACAAGAAGCTGGATCATTTTTTGGGGCATTTTGTTGCGGAAGTGAGAAAAGTCAACGGGAAAGAATACCCAGGAAAGACTATTTATGAAATGATTGACAGCATTCAAACTTATGTGTGGAATGCAAACATAATTTAACTCTAATAGATAAGTCGAGTTGTGTGTTTAGAAATTTAAAATCATCGTTAAATTTTGTATTGAAAGACAGAGCTCAGCAGGGATTAGGTATGGAGGTTTGCCAAGCTAAGCTTATATCAGAAGAGCAAGAAAATTGTTTATGATTGCACAGTTTCTTAGCAATGCAGAATTGTAGCAATGCAGAATTGCTTCGGGGTACTTTGGTGTTTGTATTCGGTATGCAATTTGCTCTAAGAGCCGGACAAGAGCATAGAAATTTAAGAAGTAGAAATTCACAGTTATCGCTGCAAGTTGACAAATTAGGCAAAGAATATTTGCAGTATGTTGAGGACATCAGTAAAACTAATAATGGAGGATTAGGCCATATAAAATAAATTCCTTGATTCTCATCGCTAAATTTTAAAAACTCCCAGGAGGCGGGCACAGACGTGTGTTTTTGAGCTCCTCTCAATTATGTGTTCTACAACAGTTAGTAACGTATTGTACGGCTATTTTGGCCTTAATAAAAGTAAATTGAAATGGTCAGGAACTTTGGAAGACCTTAAAGCATTTGTCCTCACGGAAATTAGTGAAGAAATAGCCGAAAATACATCATGGCGTTCACCGAGTGGCGGGACATGGCAGTTTGATTCTAAGATGCTATCAGTTACATGGCATAGTAAAAGTGAAAATATTTACTTCAAAGGTGAAAAAGGCAGCGATCTCACCACACGAGTATATTCCTACGTAAATCTGGGGCTCGGGGAGAGTGATCAAACGGTGGTGAGTGGAAGTCCTACAGAAACCGAGCTAGAAAAGTCCATCGAAAGTCTGTTAGCTAGCAAGAATGAACATATGAATGATATTAGTAAAACTAAAGATATACCAACTAACGAGGGAGCTAGCGAGGATGAGAATACGAGTGATATTGAAAAAACCGAAGATACATCAACTAAAGAGGGTAATCCTGTAAAGGCTTCAAATCGACATCTTGATTTTAGTAACAGTATTATTCATGAAGCCCAAAGTTCAAAGGAAGAAACGAACACAAACTTGTCAACAAGTGTAAATTTGCATAAAGAACCAATGAATTTGCATAGAGTGCCTCATTCCTATATTCCTTTGGGAGACCCGAACAAAAACTATAATCCAGAGTTTGATACATTAAAGAAAATAAAGTTTATTCGATTATAATTCTCAAGAACACTGTCCATGAATTAAAGAAAGAGAAATATGACCTAATCAAAGCTAACAACGACTTAAGAGAGAAGAACGAAGTATTACATCAAAAAATTTCGGATTTTAATTTGACAGTACAAAGATTGGAAGATGAGAAGCAGAGTCTAATCACAACCCTAAAGCTAGTTCAAAAGGAAACTCAAACTGTTCAGCTGGATTTAAATGACAGAATGCAAAACCTTGAAAACGAAAATAAGAGCTTATCAACGGCATTAACACTCTTGCAACACGAATTAGATAATACTCAACAACATAAATGGAAAGTTGTAAAGACGAAGTATAATAAACCACCTCCAGAGACCCCAGCAGGATCAAATACTATTGAAACAAAAAATCAATATACAACCCTTAGGGTCACTGATTCTGAACATGACGATATTCCAGCAAGACTGAATACCCAACAGATTCTAGATGAAACTTCGAATACAACCAAACACAGCAACATACAGATGGTTGGAAAAAGCAGTGGTCCATCAAATTCTAATGAGTCAAGTCGTGACTCACAACGTAGTCAACCTAGAATAGCTATCTTCGGAGATTCGATGATTAAACATTTGGACACCAAACGAATGCAGAATGGATTGAAGAAAGGAAAAGTAACGATTAAGACATTTCCTGGTGCAGGTATTGACCAAATGAAGCATTATGCAGTACCAACTCTAATTACCAAGCCAAAGACACTTATATTTCATGTTGGAACCAACGACTTACATTACAAAACACCAGAAAATCTAATAAATGCAATGAATGATCTTGGTGAAACGATCCATAGACAGAACAACGATCTGGAACTTATATGGTCGGAAATAATAACTCGAACTGATGATCAAAACTTAGCAGAAAAGGTAAATGTAGTCAATGCCGAGCTCGCTAAATTATGTACAGATAAGGGCTGGGGACTTATTAAA